CTCCCTCGAAGCAGGTCTTCGGCGCGCTCACGTCGGTGTTGACTGACAAATGTTTTCTTCAATTCGTTCTTACAAACTTCCCACGTGGTCAAGGCGACTTCGTGATTTTCATACCACTGCCTTGCCGTTCCTTCCAGTGAGAAGTAGATGTTCTGGAGGCGCTGCTCATCAGTCCATCCGTTGTGGCGGGCCACTCGGTCGTACTGCAGGAGCCAGTCTTCTACGTCTTCGTAGAGTTCACCGTGGAAGGGGGCAGCCGTCCGCGGTGCGACGGGCATGTAGATGACGGTAGAAGCGGCGGGGGCTTGCGACTGGTTGGCCATCGTCGGCCTCGTTGGCTGCCTGGTCCGGGGTGGCAGAAGTCCGTGTTCCGGGGGTAGACCTTGGGTGCGGCGACTGGATCGGGTCTCGATCTGGTCTTCGCTCGGTCCTCGGGAGGCTGGGTCCGGACTTGCACTGCGGGAACTCGGAGGGCTGCGCTGCACGGACATGCGGTACCCCGCACCTCCACCAAAATGTCACGGGTGGTGACCAAAAATAACGAATAAACAGGAAGAAATAAACGTTTAATGTGGCGAACTTGTGCCAAAAATAAAAGAGTACAAAAGGATTATAATAGAGCGTCGCGGGCGTCGAAGTCGGCGTGGCAGCAGAGTCGAACGCTAGGGCGAGACTGACCGTGACTCGCCACGCGGAGCCCCTTATGTACATGGGTGGTCTTCTGGAATAATCGGCGTAGAAACTTCGACGCGTAGAACATTCGGGCCTGGAACAAGCAACATGATTCTCGAATTCTCCAGAACACTAAATTGCAGGAATAAACAAAAGACACGTCACTCCCAGGATTCGAACCCTAGCTTTTCGCGTGGGAGGCAAGCGCGATGATCGTTAGGCCACGCGCGCGCTGCCTACTTGGCCAGCTGCGCGCGCGGCAACATATTCTAACAAATTATTTAATATAGGCTCAATTGACATTATCATTACTCATATAATTACTTTGAGTTGGTAATGACCTAGTAAACTTTAATTCGGCCTGATTGACATTGTGATGACCGTTTTCATTACTTTGAACTTATAATCAACCAAATGGTTTATTATAAGTATATAGTAAGTTACAGCTCAAGAAGGTGGGGCGAGGGAAAGGAAGGCCGGGGAAGAGGAAGCAGGCGGAACGCTGGAGAGAGGAGGAGGTTTCCCCCTCTCCTCTCCAGTGTTCCGTTTGCTTCCTCCAACCCTGCCTTCCTTTCCCTCGACCTACCTTCTTGAGTTGTAACGGACTATAGTTGACTATATTAGTACTTTTTATTACTTTAAGAAACCTTTGACCCAGTTGACTAATTTGCCCTAATTGACATGGTGATGAGTGTTTTAATTAGTTTAGATAATATTGAACTAAATGATTTATTATGAGCGGAATAGACATGATGATTACTCTCTCGATTACTTTGAGTTATTGTCGACACAAAAAACTTCAACTCGGGATAACTGACATTTTGTTAACTCTCTTGAATACCTAGAGTTATATTACCAATTGACATATTATGAGCTCAAATCACTTTAATATTACTCTTGATTACTTCGAGTTACTTTTGCCACAACGGACGTTAATTCGAACTAAGTTACATTCCGATGGCTCTTTTGATTAAGTAGTCATGAAAGTAATCAAGCCATCAAGATGTCAATTAGGGCGAATTAAAGTCCATTTTGTCGATAGTAACTAAAAATAATCGAAAGTGTAGTCATAATGTGACTCGTGGTCATAATAACTGATCAGTCTATAATTTGCCAAAAGTAATGTCAAGAATAATCGTGATGTAAATTATGCCGAATCAAACTCCATTGGTTCGATAGTAAGTCGAAGTAATCAAGAGTGATCAAAATGGTAACTGAGCTGATAATAAAGCACTCGGTTATATAAAATCTCAAAGTAATTATGAGAGAGAAGATTATGTAGATTAGACCAATATAATGTCAAATACGTCACTAGCTATTCAAAGTAATCAAGATGTCAATGATGCTGATATAAACTCAGTTGTGTGACAAATATATCAGGGAAAGATAAAGTAACCACTAGGTTAATTGAGTTAATTTAAAGCGAGTTGGGTGATAGTGACACGGAGTAATCAAATGAGTAATCCAAATCTTAACTGAACTTTTATGTACTTGTATTTGTCAATTTTATTTCAAAGTAATCAGCTGAGTAATGAAAAGTTTGCTTCCATTAAGTTATTTGTGTAAATGATACCTGTACAACCAAAACGTAATCAGAAGGTCAAGTGAGCTTCTACCAAGTTATATTTTTGTCAATAATTCCTTGGAGTAATCGATGGAGTGATCAAAAATATTTGTGGAACTTTTATATTGTAATTCGTGTTATTAGTGGGTCGACGTACTTATAATTGCAAGCCATGCCTACATTAAGCTTCAAAGAAAGCCAGAAGTTTCTATAAATGCACGAAATAATCAAAATAGTAATTACAAACTGCGATTCTCTTTTTACTATCTGAATTGTAACAATAATAAGTCGAACTAATAAGAATGAGTAAAGAAAACGTCGGTTCAGCTAAATTAAGGTCGAGTGCGCCACTGAGTACTGGAGGTTACCAAAAGAGTAATCAACATGTCAATTAAGCCAGGTCAACCACGCGACTATTAGCACCAAGTAATCAAAATAGTGGTCACAATATCAGTTGTCCCAATCGAAATCGAATTCTGTGAGAAATTACTGTAGTTTTAAAACGTGTAAGCGAAACGCGACCGTTAAAGACAAAATAGCACATGCACATATTGTGAATTAAATTCACTGACGCCGGGAGTAAATTGTGTAGCACTGAGATTAAATTGGATGGCGCTTGAATTAGATTGGGTGGCACTTGAATCAAATCGTCGTTTGGATTAAAAATTAGCGGGAAAACCTGTGGTCCTCCCTCTTCACGGCACGAATCTACGTTATCGGACGAACCGGGCAGGCAGAAGACACGCGGAAACTTACCTTGACACCTTTGCCGACTCTTTTTGTGTAGCTTCAGTCACGGCGTTTTCGGCGTTTTCACGATAAGGCTGATTTTAAAGTACTTTTAAAAACACACAGACACAGTTAATGCCCGGGCCTGTAAGGACTCTTCCGCACACACCCCAGAACACAAGTGCGCCCTAAGCGCCTCCGCCGCGGCGTGACGAAGGACAGTTGAATTGGTGTATATAATATACAGATGTTCCAAACCATTCAATATAATGCGCACATGATTCGCGGGTCGTATTTTAGAAGATTAAGTCATTCGTGTTACGAAACTGGCATATCCTTTATACACTTCAAGCCCAACCACCCTTCAAGTCAGCTGACTTTTCTTTCTCCACCATCTCGTTCACTTTTAAAGGATATAAAATTCACAAAACAAAATTATGTCGAAAACAGTGTCTATTGGTTATATATTTTAGTAACCTCCAGATATGCATTATAATATTTTATGAACCAATTTCACGTTAGTTACGTTTGTTTAAAGCAGAAGTCTCCAAACTCCGGCCCGTAGGCCAGATTCGGCCCCCGGAAATCTTCCGACAGGCACGCGTATCGCAGCAACACTTCCAATCAGTCTCGGCGTTAACGAGTTACAACTAATGACGTTATCTGTAACGTGTTACTTCATTCGGTAGCGTAGTAATGTACTCGTTACTTCTTCAAAACAGCAACGGGTAACGTAGTTACGTTATTTATTTCGAGTAACGGGTAACGGAGTTACGTTACTCGTTACATATTCTTCCCAAGACTTAAATAAAGTTACACTTCAAATTTTTTCGTCTTTTTAGACACCAAGCCATATGAATGCTGGAGTTTTTGTGTTTCTCTTTGGAAGTATTTAGGAGAAACCGTGAAAAGAATGAATTAATTGTGTTCAGTTTCTAAATGGACGCAATGTTTCTTGAAATGTGGCGCTTATATGGATCCCTGCAACGTTAAAGGAGTAAAACGGGTTAAATCACAATTAAAAGGTAACGCAAGAGTAGCGTGCCTTACTTTTTCTCTGTAACAGTAATGATAACGCGTTCCTTTTATTTTCAGGTAACGTAGATTGGTAACGCGTTTCTTTTTTTTTTTTTGCAAGTAACCGAGTAACGCATTTCGTTACTTTTTCATGGTAACACCTGCAACACTGTTTCCAATAAAGCCCAGTCCGCGGCTCACTTCCTACAGACCCACTGCTACCGGCAAAAATGAAGTGCAAGTAAAGAAACGACGCTGCAGCGCGCTCTAAACGCGCCTACGAAGATACAAGAAAGAACGAGATAAACTGCATCGGTAGCGCTCTTCATGATATCTCTTGAACATTGCCATCAGCCTCACCATTATTAGTCCTCTAGTCCACGTCTCTGTAGCTGCGAAAAAAAAAAACAGCGTTCTTATATGCGTCATGCTTAGTATTTTTGTCACAGCTACTGGATATTGTCAGCATATACGTTTATCAACCTCATTAGTCTTTTTACACTCGGCGAATGCGCCAAATTTCCAATGTGCTTTGATCTCTGCGTGGTGAATTTTCTTGGTCACGATTTTGGTTCATGACATAATTAGCTAAATAATAAATTTAAAATGGAAGTATTTAAGTATTCGCATTCGTCAACATAGGGGTGCTGTTTTTAATACTTACACTAACAATAATGTTTGTGTTGAACTGGTTACCTAGCTAGGTTTGTTTATATCGATTTTTCTCGTTTATATTAACCCTTTTTTTCGGCCCTCAAGACTGCGAAATATCCTTTATCCGGCCCCTTAGCCAAAATGTTTGGAGACCTTTGGTCTAGGGAATAATTAAGATCAATTTGTATAAATACCTTAAATGAGAAGCCTATGTTATAGAAATTTAAATATCAATTTATAATCTGGCGACATCTTTAGAATGGTTGAAAATAAATCAATTTTAATAACTATTGACTGCACTTTTTAACAATATAAAACTACAAAACCTGCCTCATAAATCACAGAAAGATTACATATTTTTCAGGGTGCGTTTTTCTGGCTCTACTGTCGAGCTCTGGCAAGTCTGCTTCAAAGCAATGTGTGCCAGATGATGAACTGGGAGGCTGCAAGTATGAAGGCTTAGAATCTTCCGATTCCGAAAAGTGCCTTGAATACGAATCGGTAATACTTATTGATATACCCTAACTAAGAAAAAGCCTTCGTTGTTCTGACGTATCTATGGCACTAAAATAAAAAGAAAATATGTAAGCCTTCTTTCGCATTATGGGTTAGTCAATTGAATAGTATCCTGCAGAAAAGTATTAACGTCTTTGACTCCCTATAAGGGACTAATGTTTTATATCATATACAAATACATAATAAAATATAGTTGTCTACGTGTGAACTCAAGTAGCCTGTTTCAAGCGACCGTGACTAATCCTTTTATGGTGTAAAATCATATATATGTATCTATGTACATATTTTGTTACCAGTGGCCTAACAACTTGTTTTTGAGTGGGTGGGCAAACCAGACCTCTCCACTGTGCCGCCCCCAACCCCCCCCCCCCCTCCCTCCCAAGGCCGGGGGGCGGTGCCCTTGGTATCCCTTGGACACCGTCGGCCAGTGTTTGCCCTGCCCAGTAGCGGCTGTTTTAAGGGGGGCAAAATACATGCCTTCCCCCCTGCCCCCTCTGAGAACTGGGGAGGGGGGGGGGGGAGGCAAGCGCCCCCTTGCCCCCCCCCCCCTCCCCGGTTGGTACGCCCATGTCTGTTACACAATCTCTCATGTGGGTCTTTCTGCACTGAGTTCTCTCAAATGTCGGTAGTATACACATTCAACACACTTTTTTGTTGCATTTTATGGTCTTCGCAAAGTTGTGCTCATCAAATAAATTCACCTGCAAATTGAAGAGGAAAAAGGTAATTCGAAAACGAAAATATCAATACCACAAAAATTTAAAAAAAACTCCAAAAGCTATAAACCTATACAGCTAAATTTATTTTCTGAATTCTTCTGATTTTAGCGGGCAAAAAGAAAGCACCAATTTTAAATTGCCATTCGTGTATATTTACGGGCCAGTTCGCGCATTAGCGAACTGGGGTAAAGCACTACACTTACCTGCAGATGCAGGAGTTGTATTTATTATTACACCTACGCGGACTCTAATCTGAAAAGAAGTGTCTTGGAAAAAAATCCTAATCAGCAGCGCAACCAATTTTTAACCGGGTGATCGGTGGCCGAGTTAGCTAGTGCATACCTGCTCGGAGCACGTAGGGAGAAAAGCTAGCGCTGCAGAACCCAAGGATTATGGCCTCGATCCCCACCCCAGCCCGTTTCGATCTGGATGAGCATCTCACCGGGGTGCGGTCGTGTGACACTACTGCGTGGTGCACGTTAAAGGCCCCGGGCTGTGGTCTGTGCTGCACTGTCTAAATTGCCCATCTACAGCTGAGAGACAAGTAGCACGTTGAGGCAGACTAAGTCCATGCTGTATAAACTTACCCCCGACCTAAATTTTTTTAACACTTGTGGGTTAGAGGTTAAGAAGCAAACTTGTGAGGTACTCAATACAACTATTCGAATTACTTGTAAACGAATACTTTTAATGCGTTAGCATCAGAAATCTCGTTTTCACGAAAACCCGCCGGTGTCAGTCCGTTTGTTCGTTCGTCAGCACCATGCATGACGGCGCGAGGAAAGGGGGTGGGGAGGAGGTATCGTGATTTCACATTCAATGTATGGCCAGTGTTGCCCAATCGTGGGAATTCTCTTACGAACATACCTCCCGGGGACAGCGGGGAACTAAACTCGAGCGCCTGTAAAATTAGACATATTTTTATTAAAAAAAAAAATCATATTTTGCATGCGTTGAAATTAAGTTTAGCTTTGCCCTGGGCGTTAGGTTTTCCACCGAAGCTTGGAAACTTCCTAGGATTCGGCAATACACCATGGTGGCGGGGAGAGAGGGAGAAGGTTACGCCTACTGACGTCAGCGCTTCGGACGCATACGAGCGTCGCACAGCTGGCGCCGAGCCAGAGACGAGCGGGTGCCGCGCCGCTTTGGAGTGCGGCCCAGCTCAGTTGCCGCTCCGGTGACGGATGTGGTTCTTGCCACGAGTGATAAAAGGGGTGAAAAAACACTGAAAACGGGTCATAAATGATTTGAAAGGGGCCATAAACGAATGCAAATGTGTATTAAACGACAGGAAACCGGTGATAAACGAATGAAAAGAAGTGAAAAGGGGCTGAGAAAGAACCAATGCTAACGCATTTCCATCGCATTCATCGTCGAGCAATATTTGAAGTAATATCGTAATCGCTTAATTACTTGTCATAGGCAAACTCCGCAAGAGTAATCTGACTGCTCTTGTAAGTAATAAAGGTAGTGGAAACCGTTACTTTTTTTAAAACCTCCTTTCCCTAGGTTTCCACATTTCCGACTACTGTCAATTAAATTCGAGCTAAACAATTTGTGATCTGTCCGCATTTTATCAGCTTATAAAGTTTTTAATTAACAGAGCATAAAAGGATTGTTACTGAGCTGCACGAAAGGAGGTTTGACCCTTTACGTCACCAGTTTACTTGGTAGCTCATTTTTTGAGCCAAAACTGTAAAATCTCTCTTCTAACAAAAACAAAACAAAATATCATATTTTAATCTTTTTTGTTTTATGCAGCATATGCGTCTATAGTAAGTGTTCAAACAGTCTACCCCTCCCCTTGTAGAAATAAGAATTACATACGGCTCAAACTCCTAAACACTAGAAAGCCCGCAAATTAAAACAAACAAACTACAAAAAAAAAAAAAAAAAAAAAAAAAAAAAAACGACACGTAATGTCAAAGCTACGGTTTGACAAAAAAGTGGGTTCTTTGCGACATGCAAGACAAGCCGTTGGCGTTCCGGAGGAATTGAAAAGAGGACGATTGTGTAACCCCATGATTTCATTCCACAAATAAACAGCACAAAAAGCTTGTTTTCTAACAAACAAAAAATGCATAAGCTTTTTTATTGCAATATCTCACGGATTTACTTATGCCATGTTTTCCGACGTTGCAATTGATATGAACCTTGTGAAGTAATTGGAAAATTAACGGCCAGTTTCTCAAGTACCGGTCAATAACTTTTCTTCTTCAGTATTCAAGTAATATACCTAAATGTTCTTAAAGTAGAAGTAATAGTAATAGTAATCGATTATGTTTTGGGTATCATGGTCAAGACTGTTAAAATGAAGTAGGTGCTCCATTTTCAGCACGGGCTCGTTGCCTGCCGCCGTACTTTGTCTACACGTGAAACGAAGTTTTATGAAAGGCAGGAAGCTTGCGCTCGAGAGAGAGAGAGAGAGCATTAACTTGGACTATAAGCTGTCACCTAGTGTAGTAACCAGTGATTTCGCTACAAGTACACCTTCTATTTTATCTTGAGGTAGGCTCACGTTACACATGGCGTGTTTAATTCATAGCTTTAGTTTTGAAAATTCTGGTTTGGGCTTACCACGCAGCTTAATAAGCAGTCTTATTTTTGTAAAAGAAGCATCAGGTGCTACTTCTAGGATTATTAATCATTCGAAATGCGTCTTATTGCATTTTGTTCTACTGAATAATCTCCCATTTCAGGTTGAAGAAAATTCAGAAAATCAAGCCAATGAAGTCACCGCACAAAGCCCCGACAATAATGTGAGTGGTCTTATTTATTCTTTTATTTAGTGGCACAGCTGCTCTGAAAAGTGCGCTTCGTCAAAATCCCCCCGTAATAAAGATCATTCATCCATATTTGTAGAGTTTAGCATTTTGTTGGTATGTTTAGAGGTCGCTGAATATTTAAGTAAACGTTATTTCGCTTGATAATATACGAATAGGCCTGTTAAATAACTGGAGAATCCATCGCAGTCATGAGCGCTTTCCTTAAAAGCTCGGCACCATTGTAGAACTTCAGAAACAGAAATGGCTGTTTGCGTAAGTGTAACCATTCAGCTCTTTCAATGACATTCAACGTTATGACTAATCTCAATCATTTTATTATTTTTCAGCAACCTCTCCTGGAAACTGATCCGCAGCTTCAGCAATATCAAGATTTTAAGCGGGTAAATGAGACCGATAGTTAAAAAAAAATTGTTTATACTTACTAGTTACATGGAGCACACCTAAATGATCGCGGTGAAGAAGACCTTCGTCCAGTTTACTCTTAGCACCAAAACTCAATAGAGCCTTTCGTTCGATGTAGTAATGACGGCGGAGAGTTCTGCATACATTTATTTATTTTCAGGGCCTCTTATTCAGCAGCCTTGTACTAGTGTACTCTTCATATGAAGATGACCCTTTCCGATTGTGCATGATCACGTACAGTCCAAATGAAGAGCCGAAACCTGACGGGAGGCTTTACATTCTAACATCGGGTGTCAAAGTGGATAAGTAAGTTCATGTTATATTATCTTTATTATATGTGTTTCGCCGAAGTACTCTTTAGTTTTCCGGGCGTCAACTTGGCAGTGCAACGATTATAGCTTTGAAGAATTGTGCAGCTTATACATTTTATGTAGTTTATTTCGGCATAAGTGAGAGGAAAAAAAAATTCCCTGCGCTCTGCTACCCATCCCACCGTCCTCAAGGTGTCTCACTTTTGTCTCGACTTCGACCGCCCGCCGCGACCTTCGGCAATGCACATGATCTTGAAAAGTCGAAAATCGCAGAGGAAGCACAGGGAGCCTAGGGACAGAGCTCAAAGGGAACCATCGTGCTCTTCCCCAGCCCCTCACCCCGTGACGTCGATGCACATGTCCCTTGGAAGGCGGTGTAAAAGTTGAGCGGTACCAAAAACTTCAATTTGTTTCAATATAAAAATAATAATATCGAGCGCACGGAGGAAACAATGGTTATCCATTCTTTGTTTATGCGTGACAGAGACTAATTCCCGTAATTATTTGATCAAAATCTGCAACTTGTTTCACAGTTGCTTATATAACCCAGTTCAGAGTTTCAAAAGTGGGCTATTACAAGAAAATGCAGAAGCTGTTCTCGACAGCAATTCTGTCTAATTTTTTTTAGGTGAAGGGGGATTGCGGTTGAAGGGGCGAAATAAAAGTTATCTACAGCAGCCCCGACTTTCGACATTCGAAGGCCATTGATGTAGGTCATACGTACATCGCATAGCTCACTGCTCATATTATTTTTTTACGACAGCTGCGAAATAGATTTTTGTCATATCCTAAACTCATAGCCGCCCGACGAACATCAGAGCCAATAGCAGGGCTATGGAACAAAGTATTATCTACTAATCTTAATTTCATTTGGTGGGTCAATGTAACGACACGGCTACGTTCAAATAATTCTGTTCTTAGATAACAGCGTAGCCTTTATATCAAGTCAGATATAAATTTAGACACAATCGCCATAACACCGTGGTAAAGACCGCGGAAAATATAGTTATGAAAATTGTTTACGCAGGAGCTGAGCAAAATATTTATTGGCAAATCGGTCGTACCTAATAAAGTCCAGTCAAATATTCCAGGTAAAATTGGCCGCGTTGACGATCCTAGCAGAAACCGTACAACGAACTGTTCCGATTGAAGTTTGTGGCGTTGCTTTTATGTTCTTGTCAATATGAATTGAAGATGAAGAAAAACATAACTGCAAAACACTACAGTCATAAGACTTTGACCATTTTAAAATCTGTATTTAAGACATACATCGTCCGTGTGCACCAAGCAGTGAAGAAAAATAAATAAGAATTCAAAATTCTAGCAGAAAAGAGTGTAATTATATACAAGCATTTGTCTACATAAGCAGTACGAACCTTTCCTTATTTGTACTAATGTTTTTGCCTTCATTTAGTTCCTTATATGTGTATTTTAAAATACTCATATTTTAAGTTCCAGTTGAGCTCTGTATGAAATATTCTAAAAGCAAACAAAATGAAAGTAGCAAAGAAATAATGATGTAATAACCAGTTTTCCAGTTTAATAAAGCTGGCTGTACTAAAGCAAACCTCGAAACTTTTTTTTTTGGCTGTTAGTCTGTTTATTATGTGCCTTAAGATACTGTCTTCCCTGGAGTCATGGAGCTACTTTAGATCGATTGTTGAAACTTGACGGATTCTCGAACAGGATGAGTCTGCACTACTCTTTTCCCAAAGCCATTACAAAATGCTTAAATTATCTGGCGTAAACATTCACGTGTAGAATTATTATCCGAAGCAATAGCTTGATAACAACATAAAATATTATCCAAAGTGTCTACACTCGGGATTATTTTGTCCAGGTTTGCTGTCGGAACCTTTCGTTTTGGGGCTATTTTGTCTGGGATCACCTCGTCCGGGACGATTTTGCCCTGCATCGTATTTTTCGAGCTCATAAATTGAGAAACACTCCGGGTTTTCTAGAAACCGTACCAAATTTCAGGGTAATTCAAATTTCTTTTGTAAATAAATGAGTAGAAGTATAAAAAAATTCGGTAGAGACACTTAAGACTGCTTGCGTGTAGGAATGCGAAAGCATCCCTACACGGAGCGCATTCCTACAAGCAGCGCGCCATGTCTTCCTATCGCACAAGGCGCTCCGGTGGTGACATCACGCTCCCCCACTCCGCAGGCGCGACGAACCCTGCCGGCTTCACCACGGCTTCCGTGACGAAGCATTGCGTTGCTGCGCTTTTCTTTGTGTTTTATTTCTTAGGCGCGTCCGCTTTCACTTTGAGCGCGCCCGCCGGTTTCGTGACGAAACATCTGCGTTGCTTTGCTTTTAATGCGAAAGCATTAACTGTCCCATAAAGCGAGCCGACATCACCAGTTTGAAGCGCGAAAACGGCACCTAGTTTCCGCAATCCCAATACGTGGCTTGCAGATGACGTCGTTTCCGATGCCCTCCAGAGAAAAGGGGAAGAAGGAGCTCCCCTCTTATCAGGATCCTCCTTTGTGCCTCCCGGATTTGCACAGGCGTCGCTATTCTCCTCCCAGAAGATTATAGAAGATTAACCTGTCACTCATAATTCTTACAAAAGCAGCTTCTCTCTCCTCCTTTTACATGGTGTTCAAAAGTATGCGATGTGACGTCAGTGCAAGGAGCCTATACGTGGCTTGCACATGACGTCATTTCCGATGCCCTCCAGAGAAAAGGGGAAAGAGGAGCTCCCCTCTTATCAGGATCCTCCATTGTGCCTCCCGGATTTGCACAGGCGTCGCTATTCTCCTCCCAGAAGATTATAGAAGATTAACCTGTCACTCATAATTCTTACAAAAGCAGCTTCTCTCTCCTCCTTTTACATGGTGTTCAAAAGTATGCGATGTGACGTCAGTGCAAGGAGCCTATACGTGGCTTGCACATGACGTCATTTCCGATGCCCTCCAGAGAAAAGGGGAAAGAGGAGCTCCCCTCTTATCAGGATCCTCCATTGTGCCTCCCGGATTTGCACAGGCGTCGCTATTCTCCTCCCAGAAGATTATGGAAGATTAACCTGTCACTCATAATTCTTACAAAAGCAGCTTCTCTCTCCTCCTTTTACATGGTGTTCAAAAGTATGCGATGTGACGTCAGTGCAAGGAGCCTATACGTGGCTTGCACATGACGTCATTTCCGATGCCCTCCAGAGAAAAGGGGAAAGAGGAGCTCCCCTCTTATCAGGATCCTCCATTGTGCCTCCCGGATTTGCACAGGCGTCGCTATTCTCCTCCCAGAAGATTATGGAAGATTAACCTGTCACTCATAATTCTTACAAAAGCAGCTTCTCTCTCCTCCTTTTACACGGTGTTCAAATGTATGCGATGTGACGTTAGTGCAAGGAGCCTATAGGAGCGGAGTTAAGATGATGGATTTTCGGCTTCGGTCGCATTGGCCGCCGCGTGTCAGTTTGTGTGGTGTCATCCTGACTGTGTTATCACACTGTTGTGTTATCACTGATCACCGCGTTCGCTCGCCTCTTATAGACCATTCTATTTAGCGCTCTCTGGGCGGCACCATTTTGTTCGACAGCAGCGCCCTCTCCATACATCCGGGAAATTCAGCGGGTTCGGCGGGGTAAAACGAGAGAGAGAGAGGGCACGCACCCGACTCCGCTAGCCCCGCTAGCAGACGACAAAACGGGAGGTTTTCATTCTCCATCTTTGGGCTGTATCGGCGGGGTGTACGGAACATCGAACTCTCGCTCGTGGCTGCCGTTGTGAAGTGGTTCGCGTTCTTAGAATAGTTACGGCTACTCCAAAATTAGCCTAGAGCTCTCTGTTGTTCTACTTCGATAAATGATCAACTGACATATCTTTTTTCCGTTACTTGTAGTTCAGTCAGTCGGCAGTACTACCCTCAACTACTGCCTGTATTGCGGCAGGAGAGCATGTTTTTATTTATTATATCAGACTTTCACTCATGGTCGCTAAAGGCCTACACCAGTACGAACTTTGTATAGTAAAAAAAGTACAGCCACCGGATTCACTTTTCGCCGGAGAGACCGGCCTGTCTGGCACAGTTTTCCCTATTTTTTTATTTTCACGTAGATAACAGCGCAATTGGACTCTGTTAGTCTTTTTTATCTAGCATAGTAATACACGATAACTGGCATACCAAAATCTGCGCATCTGCGCTTGAAATTTCCAAAATGATGCGTTTTTAAACAGAGTTTGTACGCCAGCCGGATGCTAGGTACTGCCCACTCGGCGGAGCAGACGACAGGCCGGCGAGAGGGGAGGGCATTTTTTTTCTTTTTACCCTCTCTGCTATGACCCTAATGGAACGGTCTATATGTTGTACGGCGCATGGCAATAGATACGGCGCACGGAATAAACCAAAGTGTTCGTTCTCCTGGGAACTACGTTGCTGTCTGTTCCTTCCTCGCGCCGCAAGGCACCTGACAGTTTGAACGATCGCTCACCCGATGGCGTTGCGTATCCGCGAGGCAGCGGCTCCACCGTCCCACGCTCGAGGTCAGCGCGTTGTACGCCGGAGATTAAAAAAGGGAGCGAAGGGCGGCGTGCGTGCTTTCGCATTTACAACTCATAAGAAGTACTTAGGAGTACCTCGAGCGTTTTGATATGTCAAAGCGATTCTTTTCAAAATCTCCCTTGAAGTACCTGCGCTTCGAAGAACGAACTAGTGCGCACGCTTTGTTTCTTGTTCTGTGTGTTTTATTGGGAATGGGCCAATGGGAATTTAGGTGCCTCTTTATTCAGTCAATGGGATTTTAGGTGCCGTTTCGCTCAGCCAATGGGAATTTAAGTGCCGTTTTTCGCCGGCTTCACTCCATGGGACATTTGAAACGTTCGCATGAATATAATCACCATTTGTGAGCATTAATTGGGTTGGGGATAAAAGTATTGTTTTCATTTACGCAAGCGGAAGCAAAGAAGTTACGAGGCAGGACTTCTTTGTTGTATCAGTTGTCATTTAAATGCTGAGATACTTGCGCTAACTTACAAATATGCTCACTGT